GTAAAATGAAAGTAATGATATACATTCTACTCTTGGTTTTTATTATACGTTGTTACTAATACGTTAGTACAGCAGTTCTCTTTGAGTATGGATTTTGACGTTCAATGCACAAACATAATATTGTATATTTAATTACCTACTTACAATTATAAATACCTTAATATTGTACCTACTCTAAACTGGACCTAACTTTTAGGTACTTGGTGATGACGCGGATGTAGAGGAGGACGTGGAAGGAGTGGTGGTCCAGATGGTGGTAGTAGAAGGAGTGGAGGTCCAGATGGATGACGTGGATGGAGAGGAGGCCCGGATGGAGGACATGGAAGTGGTCGACCGTCAGGCGGTGGGAAATGGTGAAGTGGAAGTGGTGGAAGTGGCAGAAGTCCAGATGGATGGGATTGAGGACGTGGAGTATGTGGAAGTGGAAGTGGCAGAGGAGGTGGAAATGGTCGGTGACGGGGTGGTGGAAGTGGAAGATGAGGTGGAAGTGGCCGACGACGGGGTGGAGGACGACTTCCTAGTAGAGGATATTGAATACGTGGTAGTGCTCGAACTACCCATAGGGCGTGCGCCAATGATAAACCGGCATGCGGGCGTAACACACCCGCTTCCAGAGCGGCACTACGTGGGAGCACTGGACAGAGTCTGCAGACATTGTTACGCCCGCCACTTCAGTGGCGAGCAAACAACCCGGGGTCACTTCTCCACGTGTTGTAACAACGGCCAAGTGGTCGCTGCAGGACAACACGCGTTGTTACCAGTACCATATTTATTACAGAGTTTGTTTATAGATGATTCGCAGGATGGTCGAAGATTCCGAGCTGAAGTTCGGCGGTTCAACAACCTACTGGCATTCGCTGCGTTTGCCTCCGACGCACACGACAGGCGTTTGCCAGGGCGGGGACCGCCTGTGTTTATTGTCCACGGTCAGACATATCGGACGACTAATCATGAGGTGGCCGTTGCCCCGGAAAATGCGTACAACTGTCAGTTGTATTTCTTGGAGTCCGTAGAGGCCAACCACCGGCGCCTCGGTATTGCACGACGGGCAAATCGTGAACTGTGCGAAATCGTGATGGGTTTATTGGACGGTTTGCTGCGGGGCATCAATCCGTACGCAATGGCTTTTATGTAAGAAAACTTAAACTATTGTATTTATGAACACTAGGAATGTGAATTCCCCTTAGAGTAAATACATTTTACACATACTTTTCTTACAGTAGATAAAAAAAAAAAAAAAAAACATTTACAAATATAATAGACTTAATAATGATTTGAAATAATGTATACATAGCAAATAGTTTTCTTAACTCCTCCTTATTAGTTATTTGAAATATCTAAGGTACTAAGGATATAACATTAAATATGACATAGGGTTTGGATGTTTATGACTCTTTAACATATTTATATGACTTTGAAGTAAAACTATCTTGGGGTACATTTAATAATAAATGTTATACACATTGAATGTGATTCTCTACGCTTATTACACCTACACACGCGCACACACATATTTCTTCTGTGCGTGGCCAAAAGGGGTTAAGTCAAAAGGGCTGACAGATATATGTATTAAAATTATATAATAAACATTGTAATTGATGAATCAAACTGATAAAAATTAAAGTAATAGTATAACATATTTTACAATAAAATTAAACTCCCAATTGGATACGATAAATGATAAGTGTTATAACTTAAAGAGGAAAAAAGATTGACTTAATCCTATTTTACCAAAAAATAATTCATATTTATTAGAAATAAAACACATAAAAATCTCAAAATGTGTATTCTTGACTTTAGCCCTTTTGACCGCTCATGAAAGATTTATAATATTTAGTATAGATTATACTCTCACCGCTACCAATATAGAGTTAAATAGATTGAATGATCGGATGTTTTTATTACACATAATATACAATTATTTCTAACAATATCACTGATACACTAATACACCAATTACTATTGATTAATACATTATATTCTCAGCTCTTTGCGATCAAAATTCACAATTATTTGTACACATCATGCAGAGTGTGTTTAACATAAATATATTTGTTTCAGGAACATGCGTCAGGTGTGGCTGGCAGAAAGAGCCCTGGCCGATCCCGCAGCCGCGCCACCTAGACCAGTCAGGATGAATTTCGTTGAAGATGCGGCCCGGGATAGGGGCCGAAACAACCTGCCTACCGCAAATGAAGTTGCAGCCGTGTTCGTAGGTGAAGGTGGTCATCCTCCCAGACACATCGATCTGGTCATCTTCGACACCAATCCAATCGACATGCAATACAGGACGCAAAGGATACCTGCGGGTTAGTACACCTCACAGACACACACATAATTATAGTATTATAACAGATGTCTAACTGCTACCAACAAAGAGTTAAATTACACCCCACCTTTACTACATTTTGGACATTCTTTTGAAATTTAATAACTTAATAACTAATACGTTAGGTCAACACCGACTTCAACCCTTTCACTTGTGCAGTAATACTTATTACATTAACAGTTTGAGTTTGTTGTGTGATAAAATAAAAGTCATCACATTTTTATTCATTTAGTACATAACTCTCATCAGTTTTATAGTAACATTACTTCAATGCTTAATTCACTGTTCTCTTATTTCATAATTTGTGTATACTTCATAACTAACATCACTTAGAATTATTAACACTTGGTATAGAAATTAGCCCACCTTAGAGTTCATGTTTTAGATTGTTTTATAAATTACCTTTCCTTTGCGGTTTTACAAAACATTATGTACTTGCTATACACACAAGTACACGACCCAATCATAACAATAAATAAATAACTGGTAAATATCCTAACACGCATACATTCTGGACATTCTTTTGAAATTTAATTAGTTATTCACTGATTAATTAGGTCAAAACCGACATACATAATAATACTAATTAAATTAACAGTGTAAATTCATTGTGTTGCTGTGAAACAAGCCATTACATTATTATAAATTTAAAACAACGTGGATCAACATAATACCTGTCACATATTATTATTGTCTCATGGATTGTCCTCCTAAATATATTTACCCAATTTGTGTGGTTCTACAAAACGTTATGTAGGTACTTGCTATAACAATAAATAACAAATAGATATAAATAACTCCTAAATAGAGTTAAAGAATCACAGTTTCGTATTATTAATAATATACTTAATAACTAATAGCACTTACAATATTATAGCCGATCTTAGAGTTAATATTTTCTGTACATTATTTCATACATTTCTTTGGCGGTTCTACAAATTGTGTACACACAACACAAACGTATCTCCATAAACCAACTCTCAGCTACTACAGACCTTTGGCTCAGCAATTAATTTAAAATTCATTATATGTCTCAAGGTTCGTCTCACTCGGATCCCATGTTGTATCCGCTGTTCTTCCCGTACGGCGAGGCCGGTTGGCATAACGAGATGTTGCAAGAGGGCCCTCGACGAAATAACGTCCGCAGTCGAAACTCTATAAGAGAGTTTGCGTGCCATTCGATACGAGGGAAATAACGACACGAGGCACCAACGGTTCAGTTCGATACATCAGGGCCGATCCTTGTTTCACCAGTTCCTGTGCGACCACTACGTTCAGATGGAAACCAACAATCTGAACTACATACGTGAGCATCAGGCAAAAATCTTTGCCGAAGCGTATCAAGGGTTGGTGGACCATGTGAACGAACGTCTCATCATCGATCCTATGGTGGTCGGCCGTAGGGTCATTTTACCGTCGACGTTCGTGGGCAGCGACCGATACAACAAGATGTGTTATCAAGACGCCATGGCCATGGTCCGCAGCAAAGGAAAGCCCGACCTGTTCATAACGTTTACGTGCAATCCAAGGTGGCCGGAGATCACGGAAAACCTGGCGGCTCACAGCTTCCCGAATGACAGGCCCGAACTGACGGCCAGGGTGTTCAACATGAAACTAAAGGAGCTACTAGGTGACCTAACTGTTAATCGTGTGTTTGGTTATGTCGCCGCTTACGTATATACTATTGAGTTTCAGAAACGCGGTCTGCCCCATGCGCACATACTGGTAATCCTGGAGGAGGATCATAAGTTCCGCACGGCGGCAGACGTCGACGACGTGGTTTGCGCCTTCTTGCCGGACCCGGAGACAGACAGGCGCTTACACGACTGCGTGCGGTCCCACATGATACACGGACCGTGTGGAACAGTCAACCCGAGGTGTCCGTGCATGGTGAACGGCAAATGTTCGAAAGATTTCCCGAAGGCGTACGCAGAGGAGACTGTGTACGTTGCGGAAGGCGGTTATCCGAGGTACCGCCGACCGGACGACGGCCGGACGGTACTTGTGGGAGGACGTGATGAGGTCGGTAACGGGTGTGTAGTGCCTTACAACCCTTACCTTCTGGCCAAGTACGACGCTCACATCAACGTCAAGATATGCACGTCCATAAAAAGTGTCATGTATATCTACAAGTATATATACAAGGGACACGACCGTGTGACGTTGGAGATTGAGCAGAACGCAGATGAAACTACAAGGTGAGTCTTAACCTTACACTACACTTAGCGATATAAACATAAGATAATATAATATATTACCAATTGATCCGAAAAACGACATTAGCAAATGAAAACCTCCAAGTCGAATCACAATCTTTGATAAATCGGATTCTTTAGGAGCTGCTGATACGACTTCTTGTGCTTTTGCATACAAAGGTTGATCAAATGTAATAACGCATACATCGTGACCATAACGTTTCGCATTCTCTAAAGCACATAATAAAGTAGTGTATATAGTATTATAGTTACTTGCTGGTTGATGAATAAATGGTAAAAATAAAATTTGTGATACAGAAAAATGCATATTATTACTTGTTAAGCGTTCAATAAAACCATTCCAACCTGGCAATGATAAATTATTCCATTTCCCATACAACTATACTATATCCATTTTTCGGAGTAAAGAAACTGTTGTATCACTTTCATAAGTAAAATTCTATGCAGTTATTTTACTATATCCTGCTACACAGTAATTCTGATAGATTCGAATAGGAATATGAGCTGTTTCTACAAACTCGTTTGCTGAAATCACACTCAGCTTCTGTCTCTCTTTGCCTTTTAGCTGTAGCAATACTGCTTTTACGAGTGTACATTTTACGACACCGCACATGGATTGCCACAGATTGCTTGTCTTTTAAATATTCAAAATGTCCGTCATTTCTTTCAACACTTGAATCAATCAAAGTTTGAATTCCACGTTCAACAATAACTATTTCAGTTTCATTTAGATGTTTATTACAAATAAAACAAACTTGCGACATTTTTATAAACTACCTAGTCACACTCAATCCGCAAAAAAAAATATAATAAACGTGTACTATTATCACTACTGAATATCCAGTAATGAGTACGTTGTTGTCGATGTCCAAACAAGCTAACGAGAATTATACACGATAACTATTATATATATTATAATATTAATCAATAATATTTATCTAGGTAGACGCATATGCCGTACGCCGCCGTTTGTATGGATAATTGGTGGTAACGATAAGATACTATATAGAATATAGATAGGTACTTAATACTGCACGATGCATTAGACGTGATAGTGGTGTTTATTTTTATTTTTAACTATTTAATATAATACGGGTATCGGTACAGCACTTTAGTATAAACTGTTATATTGAGAATCATATTATTTGTATTTTCATGTATGAGTAACACAAACGATTACTATTATTACGAGTATTCATAGTTTTTGAAATCATAATATATTGGGTGCGTATTTTATTGTGTGCTGAATTTCTGAGTAACTCTGATCGCGTACAAGAGTCACCTCGCGCGCGGCAACCAATGACCAAAAATAACTATTTGAATGGTTTTTAATACATGATCCTTTTCCTGACTTTAAAAAAATTATGTCTATTGCAAATGGAGTTGTCGGTGATACTACAATATCCAAACACAAACACCTACATGTGATGTATTCATTACAAAGTTTAAATTCATATCCAAAATGTAAAGATTACATCTTATTATTACACGCAATAACTTGCTGTGATACTACGTCAGTATTTTACCAAAGAAGTAAAACAAAAGTGTTAAAATTATTTGAAAAAAGTCATGGTCTAGTCAGAATTTCTGAGTAACTCTGATCGCGTACAAGAGTCACCTCGCGCGCCGCGACCCCCCCGACTAAGCGTAGACCGAAAGATAACTCGTGAATTATTACCTTTAGGTAAAAAAGTGTAAGGACAATTTTTTTAGACAATTACTTGATCTACAAATTTTGTCTAAGCTATTTTTACGAAAACACTTAAATTTTAAGAGATAAATGAAAAAACCAATTTATGTGACATTTGACCTTGAATAAAAAAAAATTAGCAGCAATAGGATCGATGGGGACTTTTGAGATTTTATTTAGGATGTGTACCAATTTTCAGCTCTATGCGAATTATTCCGAAGTTAAATGTCTATTTTGACCGGACTATGATGTAAATTATAGCCGTACCGAGTACGACTGTGAAGTTAGTGCGCGCTGCACCAGAAAATTAACTCGATTGGTCGGTGGAGGGACCCGAGCTCGAACCTGCCTTGCTACTTTGAATAGCCTAGCCCGCAGTTGATGTCTGATTTTGGTTGAGATATAGCAAAGAATTATGACGCTTGCTACTACAGGAGCGGCACACCCTCGTAGATGGACACGCATCTAGTATGTGAGTCTGTTAATCACGACTCGAGTTCGCACTGCGGAAATTCGAACGGGTGACGATATGTAACAATGAATCGTGGTTTGGCACAAGGGCCGGTGCTCGTAACGTGAAAGCTATAGCTCGCGACGAGTTAATGAGCAGCAGGGCTCGGAGGCACGGAACGCATAAAAAATGACGTATTGACGGCGGCGGCACACCGGATCGCGACATGAAATGGGAAATTGCCAAGATGACTCGGAAACGACAAAGTGTGTAGCGGCGGGTGCTGGCGACCGTCGGCTTGACCGCGGCGGTACCGTCCCCTTATGGATTGCAAAGTTCTCTGACACAGTATTCGGCGGCGGGGCGGCAGGGTGACAACATTGCGACATACGCGTATCACACACAACCGCGCACAATTCGGTATGCCGATTGTGTACCCAAGACCCAACAACCTCATTTTATATTTATAATATTGTGAACCACTTAAATAATTTAAAATTATTTAATAGTAAAAGACTATGAATAGTTAAATATTCCAAATTTAAATTTATATAATATTATGTTTTTTTAGCAATACAATAATTATGAAATTTGTTACAAACAATAAGGTAATATGTAAAAAACAACTTAGCTATTTCAATATGTCGTGACTGAAATCACCCCATTTTATATTTATATTATTATGAACCACTATAAAAGGCATTTGTATAGCAGGTGATCTACCAATTTACTAGAAATGATCCACTAAAAGATTTAGGTACCTATAATAATATGTACATTGTACGTACCTATTAGGTTTTAAATATATTTCACCATTAATTATTAAGTTTTTTTTTTATTTAAAAATAAATCAAATAAGAATTCATTCAAAAATACACAGTTTACCTCCAATAATTAGTGCTACTATATGAAAATTATATTTCTATTATTATCAAAATCAGGCTACATTATCATAATAGTAATACATTATAGTTTTCGGCTTAAATTGAGAAGTATGTAATAAGTAACAACTATAATAATTAATAGGTAAATAATAAAGGAGTAGAAGCGCATTTGATCACGTACATTACCCTGGCCCCTCATGGAACTTTTTACAAAAAAAACAGCCTCGAATTAGCACGCCATCAGCATGCATTTGCACGACTATTTTTAGAATTTGTACGACATTTTTTTACGAGTTATTTATAAAAAACTATGGGGGGCTGACGTTACCCCAGCTACCCACAAGTGATATAATCACTTTTTTACAATTTTTTTTTTACCAAACATTAGCACTTCATTAGCATGCATTTGCACGACTGTCGCAGAACGCGATACTTTACGATTTTAAGCTTTCACGCTTTACATCTGCCTACTTTAGCTTTCCCCCCTCACATAAGAAATAAACCTTTTTCACCGTTTTTTTATTTTTTTATTACATACGGTATTTGTTATAGGACTATTTCTAATATTGTCACATCAAAAACTAATAAGTAAAATGGACGCATAGGAATCTTGTAAAGTACTTGAGTTAACTGTAAAAGTATTCAATTAGCTACTTATTAAATAACCAATAGTACGTATTTTTAATACTTTTGAAAATAGTACTTGAACAAAGTATGTACTGTTGTATAATTTAACTACGAATTAGACATAGACATAGAAATTCATTATCATTCAAGAAGACCAAAAACCAATTTAGTTGAAACACATATGTCCATGTTATGGTTCTGTAGACTTTTACTTACGATATTCGTTTCCATTAAAATATCGTACCAAATGATCAGACTTAAAATAAATTCATAACTAGAAATTTCTTTTAATAAGGATAGAGCTTCACTTTTTGCTACCAAATCATTAGTGTCATTAGAAACTTCTTCTAGAGCATTCATTATAAATGGTAACTGAAAACGCAATGCTTTAACGCTTTTTAAACGACTCTCCCATCGAGTTTCGGACTACTGTTTTACTGTAAATTGTTTACAGTTACTTTTTAATATATCACAGCGACCAACAGAAGCTGAAAATAAAGTATATACGCGACGTAATATACCAAAAAAAGTGATGGCCCTTAATGAGTTTTTCGCTGCATCACAGAGAACTAGATTAAGACTATGAGCAGTACATGGTGTGAAAAAAGCCCTAGAATTTATGTTTGAAAGTTGAGACTGTACTCCTTTATATTGTCCGACCATGTTAGAGCCGTTGTCATAGGCTTGACCTCGACAGTCTTTAAGATCTATATTATATATTTTTAGTTGTGAAATAAGTATTTCTGATAAATGCAATCCCGTTGTTGATTTTACATTAATGAAATCTAAAAAATATTAATTTATCACTAGAGCGCTTTTGGTATTTTTTTCATCCATATTTACAATTCTAATAAGAATTGTAAGTTGTTCGTTGTGACTAATATCTGGAGTTGTATCTATTATTATTGAAAAATATATAGCTGTCTTTATTGAATCGATTATTTTTTTCTTTACATCAGCTGCCATCATTTGTATGAGATCATCTTGTATTTCATGCCCTAAATAATGAACATGGGTTTCTTTATTTTTAATTCTATTTACATGTTCCAGTATAACAGGATCGAACTTGGCCAACATTTCTATCACAACGAGAAATGTTCCATTACTTTTAGTATACAGAACGTCCGAAGAACCTCTAAAAGAATCATAATTTGAAGCTAAAAATTGAATTATTGATAAAATTAGAATAAGTACATTTCTCCAATGAGTTTGTTCTTTTTCGATCAACGCTTGATGTTTTTTATCGATTGTTTCATCCATTTCTATTCTAGTTTTTAATTCGAACCAAGACTTGACAGACTGAACGTGGTTTTGCGATCTTTCATGAGATATTAACTTGTCTGACACATGTCTCCAGTCACTTATACCTACTGTTGCCAAATCACTGTGACATTCTTCATTTCTAAAAACAGAATACGCAATCTTTGATTGGAGAGTATACAAGCCAGACACGATCTACTTTTTCATTATTTGCTAATATTCGGTAAAATAATTTTGGAGAAAATTTTCTCTGAGATCCATCGCTTTGAATTGTAGCTGGAAAGTCAAAATTCTTTAAATGTATAGGTCCTAACTTAACAATTTTGTACTTAACTCCTTGTCTTATATTATTTGGCCAATTTCCTTTATCTTTCCACTCATCCAAATTGTAAATAGTCAACTGACCTTCTTTGTCACTTTTTAAGTTATTTTTTTCATTATTAGTATAACTTTTAAGCGACTTATCTTCATCGAAATTATCTTTTTCATCTTTGGACGACTCGCCTTGCTTGTCACTTTTTAAGTTATTTTCTTCATCATTATTATCACTTTTAACCGACTTATCTTCATCTGAATTATCTCTTTTCAATGAAATAAATCTATTAATGGAGCCGCGTTGTTTATTAATTAACTCTTCATTCTTTCATTTTTTCTGTCTTATAGCAATACCCGATTCATACTTTCTAAACATATCTCGTTCTCGACCAGCCATAATAACCTATGTTTTTTAATTATAAATAATTTGTATCAATAAATTTAAAAGTTTGAATTTGTTTTGAAGTTTTATACTTCAAAAATTAAAAATATGTTCTTGTTTAAAATGTCAAGACTATGATGATAATATTCGAAATT